CTCTCTCTCTCTCCCCGGTACTAGCCTGTGAAGGTGGCACCTTGTTGCAGGTACCTCGAAGACAAAGCTGGAGCTATGGTGCCACAGGTAAGTCTCCCTGGCCTCCGCCAACTCTCTCTCTCTCCGTCCAATGCTACTCTAGCTCTTAATAGCGCCCAGCGCTGAAGGCTACTCCTAATGCTACTGCTACTACTGCACCGCTCCTCCAGAGTGCTGCTGCCGAATCCTGAAGACTGCCTCCTGCCACCTGCACGTGAAGTGCCCGTGAACTGCCTGGGAAGTCCCTATGAGCTACCTGCAGCCTGCAGGGGGGGCCAGTTCTATATAGTGCTGGCCTGTCCGGGAGGCTGCTCTTGCCAGTGCCAAAACGTGCCAGACCCTGGCGTTGAAGTTCAAACAAAGGTTGTCTTGAAACAGGCCCAAAAATGGCCTGTGCTAAACCCTGGTCTGGTGCCTGAGTTTCAGGGCAGGTCGACTTTATGAGGGCCTGAAAATGGCCCTCGTTTTCAGGCTTTTAGGCTGAAACGACACAGGGCCTGTAGGGCCCTTATTTTCCGTCTGGTCGGGCCCTGCATGCCCGTGTGGATGCGCAGTATGCCACAGTCATTGTGTTCTCCCACGTCGTTGTACAAAGGCCGATACCAGCTGCCTACTGCTGCCTATGATACAGGGTACCTGGAATATACTCGTCCACATCTACAGTGTACTTCTGAAGGGTCGGTCCAAAGACCAATGTTCCTTCCCAGCACAGGGTCCTTCTTGGACGGGCTGGGGTAAGCGCCCCAGACCCTCGAGGACTTTCTTGCATCGTGGCCCGATTTCTGTCTGCACCTCTGAAAGTCCACCAGCAAAGCCACACTAATCTTCTGTGGGCGGCATTGCCACCTCCTTGCCCTGTAGGATCCTCTCATTGCGAAATGTTCAGATTGCCCAGAGCACAACCCCTCTGATCACTTCTGCCGCAAAAGGCAGTTTTTGTCTTCCCGACTCACTGTCGTCATGGCTCCAACAGTATCGCTGCAACATCCTCTTCGTTGACTACCCACGAGGAGGGCTCCGTCATTTCTGTTGACCACCATTTCCAAAATCCCTGCACCTCAGGGCAGCCCACAAATAAGTGTGGGATTGACTCCACCAGCCCACATTCTGGAGCTGAGCAAAATTCCTCCATATGCCTGCCATTGGTGGACAGCCACTGCGAGACCCCGCTTGCGTGGCTTCCCCTGGACCCCGAGGAATGGATCTGGAACCCCGACCGACCCCCCATTACTGGTACGCCCAAGCCTAAGAGCCTCTCAAAATTGACAGTGAAAGCGACCTATAGGATGCTTCGGTTGCGATGGAATCTGAGGGATGTAGTGGTTGAAAGGTGGTAAAGACACATAAACGTGGACGGACAACTTCTGGCTCCCATACAATGGTTCCACGAAAACAAAACCAGACCGGCTAAGATCACATCCCTCCAGTGGCAAATATCACATGACTGGCTGCCCACAAATAATTGGCTGATCGACCATTCACAGCTTGAGCGACAGGGAACGGCCCTCCCATGGTGCCCGCGTTGCACTGAGAATTTCTCCGCACGAAAGAGAGCTGAGGCGATCGAGCATATCTTCCTACAATGCCCGGCAGCGACGTTGACGTGGAGGTGGTGGGACAGGATTTGGAGACAACTGGTCCCCAGTGTCCTGTGGTCTTGGGACTGGAGAGCTCTCCTAGTAGGGCACTGCCCAGCAATTCAAAGTGACACCTTTGTCAGGAACATATTCCACCTTTGCAAGAGGGTGGTGCTCTGGATCCTGTGGTGGCAGCGCTGTGCCTTGGTGTTTGACCGAGTGAGAGTGGAAGGAGAGGAAAGGCAGGAACAGTTCAAACAACATTTCCAATGGGAACTCTCTCGACAGTGGGGGTAGACCAAACGGTTTATTGACTCTCTCCACAGAAAGAAGGACATTATGGAACGGATTGCAAGTTTCTCAAAGATATGGCTAGGTGGAGAACAAGGGGGATGGGTGGCAGAGGTGCGATGGTCAGGGGGCGGGCTAGAGGGGAGGGACTCTTACGGAGACAGGGAGGAAAGGAACTTCCGCCGGGACTACCGCCTCCGTTTTAAGAACTGGATTGAGATTGGTCCAGAAAGCCCCCTGAGACCAGCACAGGGCTTCCCGGATCCCTTTCCGCCACGCCCGTTGGCCCTTGAAATCAGAGTGTGAATTTCTCCTTTTTCTTGAATTGCTGACCCAGGTTCTTCAGCGGAAGTTTTTTTGTTTTTTTTGCATAGGAAAGTGCATAGCTTGAGGATAGCATAGAACTTGGAAGGGTGAGGGGCGGGCAAGGAGACTGAGGGAGGATCCACTGGTGCCCCCCAGTGGCTCCCACCGGTATCTGAACCTGGCCATAGGTGGTGGAAGTGGGATAGTGACTGCTAGCCTTCTAAGCAAAATCTGGCATCCGGAAACCGATGAAGAGGCAGTCTTACTGTTACATGCTGAAAGCCTACACACGGGTCCCGTGAGATTGGAATAGGGCCCCCAGGTCGCGTCACCGCAACCTGAAGGCCCTATGGCATTTTTACTTGGGCCTGCATCAGAAAAACGCCAGCTTTATATTATTTTTATATTCTTTTATTTGCTGCTGTTTTTCTAACGGGTGTACTGTTGTCCGTTTTGTGGCCAGGTACACGTTTTAGGGCCAGGGCCAGATTCAGGCCCAGAGGTTGAACCTCTAAAAACGTTTGGACCTTTTCTTTTGTTTTCGAACAGATTTAGGACCTGTTCGGACCAAGGCCGACGTTGAGGCCGGGTACGTCCACACAGGACCGGTTTGAAGCCAGGTACCAGGACGTTGAATCCTGGACAGGGCCTGGATGTCCGGTAGGGACCCAGGCAGGCCGTTTTAGGCCAAGGACTGAACCACACGTTCGGGCCTGCGATCTGAACCGTGGATCTGAACGGTCCAGGTCGAAGGYCGTGGGTTTTCAGTCCTGGCCCAGCGCTACTTAAGCTGGGCCATTGCCCAGTTCTGGGAAGAAGGTACCAGGGGAAATCCAGCGTTACGCTGGTTCAGGACCTCACTTGCTGCGCTATGAGGAGACTACAGGCTGCGCTATTTTGAGACTGCAGCTGCGCTGTTCATTGGCAATGAGGCACAGCGCTGGAGGAGTCCAGCGCCGAGGAGAGTAGTGGAGTTCAGAGACAGAGAGAGAGAGAGAGAGAGAGAGAGAGAGAGAGAGAGAGAGAGAGAGAGAGAGAGAGAGAGAGAGAGAGAGAGAGAGAG